CGTGTGTGTGTGTGTGTGTGTGTGTGTGTGTGTGTGTGTGTCTTGCCAAATATCTAACTGGGTATTTGGCTGCATCTGGACCACTGATTGAAGGGAGATACTCTCTCCCCAGCCCCATTTCCCTTGTCCTATTTAGAGTTGCCTCCGGCCCAAGTTAGATGTGAAGTCACTCCCTGGAGTTTGCAGCTTAGATCACCAACCACCAAATTTCCTAGCATGTATGGAAGATAACTCTTAGGGAGTAAATATCAGAAGCCTGGAAATCATTTCATCATTCCAGCACCGAATCTCTCCATATGCCGAAAGTGTGTGAGTGGAAGTGCTTTCATCTTCATCAACATGAGGAAGCCCCTTCCTTCCATCTTTGTAGGATATATTGTATATAAATATTCTGTACATAACAATTGCCAAATACTGTAAGGAGGTATTTGGCTAAAGCTGGATACCTGATTGCAGGAGCTGCTGTCTCCCAGGCCCTCTCCCTGTCTCCTCTCAGTTGCCACGGGCCTAGGTTAGACAGAGAATCGCTAACCTGGAGGGGCACGTGCAGCTCACCCATCTCAGAGCACGCAGTTCATCCTACAAGAAACGCCCATCTCCATTTAAAAATTCAGAAAGCATCCTGATGCCTATACTCCTCAAGACAATTTCCCGGAGGGAAGCCTGGCCAATCAGACCCAAAGAACGGCTGCTTCTCTTCCAGACAGAAGTGTGGCCCTGGCATTAGGGCCACCAGTGTGTTCTGAATAACTCTACGAGAACGTTTCAGATAGTCAGACCTGAAACTGGCTTTAGCATCAACATGCTATGAATGTAAGATAGCCCTTTAAATTTTATGAAAGCGTTTGCAGATAGTTTCTTTTTTCATGGATATGATGTACTTAGCCCTCCTGCAGGCACTGTGACAGAGGCAGAGGAAGTGTGTGAACTCTAGATTATTATAATTTGATCTGTGTTTCTGGGTTTGGGGGTAGAGCGCCTTTTTGAAAATCTTTAGTTCAAGTATTGATGACATCAGTGAAAATGGGTAGGGGGCAGTAAGTTGTGAATAGTGGGTTCTGTGGTATGTTGCTTATACTCAGCAGGACTGTTTTGGAGTTAGGTTTTAAGCCATGATTCTGAAGTTTCTTTCCTCTTTTCCACTAATGAAGCAATGATAGCTACTTTCATTTTAATGAGCATAGAACTAAGAGGAAATATTCTAGCTCTGCCTTCCAGTAGCAGTTTCCCCTTATTGTTCCTTAGTGAAAATATCCCCATCACTCACCATGCCATCTTTGAAGGTAAAAGATTGAGACACATGCAAAGGAGAGGTGTGAGAATGCTAGGAAGCATCAGGTGAGCCCTCTGGATGAAAATCACATGATCAGGCCTCCTAGCAACTAGCTGGAGAGAGAAAAGTACCCAGAACCTCAAGGATGTATTCATTGCTCTTGTTCCCAACTCTAGGTCAGACTGAATTTTGTTTTTGTCTTTCAGGAGTATAGTAAATTAAGGGGCTAAGTGCAGTGAGGAAGGACAATGGAAATTGAAGGTTTTAATTTGCTTAAGGGCAGAAGTAAGCTCTGCCCAGCTTACCTCATTCCCATCTGCCCATAACAGCGAAGATTAAACATTTAGTAGGTGGATGGACAAGGAGTTTCAAGGTTTGAATTTGTAACCTGCCTCTGGGTACTGTTCTAGGAAGAGTATACAAGAACCAGAGGTTATCCCAGTTGTGTGAGGCATCACTGACTTGGGGGGGTGAAGGAGCCTGGACCTTGCTCTGGCATCTTCCGTGGCAGTCATTCTGAGCACACTGGCTCTGCTGGTTGGTATGGTGGAAGGGCACCATACTGCAGATGTGGAGACTGACTCCTAATCCCATCACCAACACTTAGCAGGTGTATGATCATGGGCAATTCATTCAATTGCCTGACAATTATAGACTCTACAGGGGGAAGAGCACTGGATTTGGAGTCAAGAAACTTGGACACTTGGCTCCATACTTCTTTAGCTGGGAGACTTCAGGGCAAACCACTGAGTCTCTCAGGCCTGCGGTTCTTCAGCTATACTATAACGGGAATAATCTTCACTAACTACCTCACAGAGTTGTGGTGAGAATATGATCAGATAATGGGATGAAAACATTCTACTGGAAAGGGCTATACAAAAGTGGGAGATCATTTCTGTTATCTATCCACCAGTGTTTCCCACTGCCTCTCGAATCCATTTTATTTTCTTCTAACCAACCATTACATCTTTGCCACCTTTGTGAGTATGGAGAACTGACGCATGAGTGTGATGTGGGGGGCTGGAATTATTTCACTTTCAACACAGAAGGGGGAGAGGTGGTTGAAGGGCGTGGTAGGTGTTACGTATACCAGTGAGGAGTCTGGTTGGGCATTTTCCTGGGCCGCTTGACAGCACCCTGGGACATGGTCAGGACCTTGCAGAGAGCCTAAGGCTGGACACAGGAGGAAGCAACAGTGATTAAGAGTTGAGGGGGAGTTGGGGGGAGAGTATATTAGTTCAGTGTAGAGTGCCTGCTTAGCATGCACAAGGTCCTAAGTTCAAGCCCCAGTACCTCCATTAAAAATAAGTAAGTAAACCTAATTACCTCCCCTCCTAAAATTTTTTTTAATAATGAAATAAATTTTAAAAAATTTTATACTGAATTTAAGGCAAGTACACCAGAAATTAACACAACATTGTAAACTGACTATACTTCAATTTAACAGAACTAAGGGGAGGGTCTGGAGCACTGCTGCCCTCCTGTAAGCTCGGTCACCCCTCAGGGGGTGGGGTAGGCTGAGACTTGAAGTGTGAGTGGAGGCCTAGGAAAGAAGACTGTCCTTGGGGCTCCAGCAGCTCGAGCCCCGGAAGCGAAGGGGAGAGAGTGTCATTTGTGAGATCAGCTCTCCCGGTCATCAGCCGCTTTGTTATCACCAGCAACCTTAGCCCTGGTCAGTGTTATTTTCTGCTCAGAAAGATATTGAAACATAGTCTCAAGGGACTTTCATAAACACTGGGAGGCAGGGACTGTCTCATCAACCTTTGTGTCTTCAGTAGCATCTAGTAAGGTGCCTTGTACATAATAGGTGCTTAATAAATATTGCTTGAATTGAATTGTCCTCCAGCACCACAAGAATTATGCTCCATTTGCCACCGTGTGATGCTTTTGGAAAACAGTATCGATTTGGATGTCAGCTACGTGTGACGTTGGGCAAGGCTTTACATCTATCTTGTCTTTTCATTTGTAAAATGAAGTGGGTGGGTTAGATGCTCTCTAAGGTCCCTTCCAGCTCCAAAATGTTACAATCGTGTGATTCTAAAATGTTTCCATTGCCTCTGAACATGGGTGAGCGATGCCTCCCTTGCAGCTCCATCTCTCCTCAGTAGGCTTTGTTCAGAAGAAGAGGTCCACAGAGTTATTTGTTCCTCTTCAGTGGTTTTTACTGTCTTCAGAATAGTTCTGGAGGAGCAGCCTTTTCAGAAAGGACATTTTAAAATATATAATATTTTCTCCCCAAAATTGGTGGAGCAGGAGAGGAGGAAATGCAAAGAGAGAAACTGAGCATAGTAAACACAGCATGTTTTTCATAGGTTTTTGTCGAAAGAGAGAGATAGAGAGTGTGTGTGTGTGTATCTGAGCAAGTATTGACTGGGTGACAGAGAAACCGATCAGAAGTACACTGTGCAACTGAGGGAAGCTGGCCCAGGATTAAAACTTTCCCATG